CTGTGGATAATTTTTGTTAAGTCGAAGATAAAACTAGACTCTATTTTTCTGGATGCTTTGTAAAACGCGGGTTTCGGCGGATGTCACTGACATCCTTAGTGTTCAGCTGAGAAGCACTTTCAGATGTTCAAAACTTTGGAGTACATGTCGAACGAGAAAACCCATCTGTTTCTTAGGCACCAAAAGTTCAGTCGCAAACGTCGCAACTCTTTCTGAATTTGAAAAAGAATCAGTTTACATGTCTCCCCCTCTTTACTCCTAAAAGCCCGGATGCCCAGTGTGTTACTTGTGTCCTGTTGGGTGTCCTGAGCGGGCCGGGGGGTGGTGGGGCGCTGAGTCACTGTGCGTGCGTGCGTGCGACCGCACGCGTGCCTGTGCTTAGGAGTAGGGGAAGAGTTTCCTGGCTGACCGGCGAGCAAGCCGCGGGAGGCGGGGGCGCGGCGTGGCGTGGTGCCGCTCGAGCCGCCCTGGAGCCTGGACGTTGGCGTATACCCGAACGAACAGTATGAACGAACAGTGCAATTGACGTTATAGACTGCATTACTAAAGCATTTGAAAAGCCCGCGGACTGCTTCCTTTCGGTTGGTCATCTCTTCATCATTTTTTCTGATCCAGCAAATCACCTTATCCAAAAGAGATCAATATAAAACAATATTAAGAAGAAGAAGAAGAAGAAGAAGAAGAAGAAGAAGAAGAAGAAGAAGAAGAAGAAGAAGAAGAAGAAGAAGAAGAAGAAGAAGAAGAAGACCGATGCAAGTGAGTCGATGCGCTGTGTGAGACGTCGTGACGACGACCCTCGGACTCGTACTGCCGGGGTGTGGTGTGGGCGGCGCGCTCCACTCTGAGCGAGAAGCAGAGCTTGTTTGGAAAACGTATCTCCTCCTGAGATGTGAGTCATGCGCGACGACGTACACACGTACGCACGCACGCACGCACGCAGCAAATCACGGTGCACGACCCAGGTGAGGGCGGGTAGTGCCGGGTAATGCACTGTCCGGCAGCTGAGGGCAATCCTGACATATGAGGGGAGCGAAGGGGAGCGGAGGGGAGGGGATACACGACGACGATTTGATATTACCAGCGTGCCCCCCCCCCCCCCCCCCGACCCTTTTGCCAGAAGTTACCCCCTGCGCTGTCGCTACCGCGCTGTGCCGGGGGTAGCGCCGCTCTGAGGCACGATACGGCCGGATCTAAGTACGAGACGTAGTAACTAAGGTAAATTTCAAGAAGTTCATAGGCTATCGATGAAATTCCCTTTAAAGCGGCCCGTAGGTTAAGAAAACTAGTGGCAACCCTTCTTCAAAATCACCATGTAAAACCCTAAGTCCGAAAGCTCCTTCCCTTCCAGGCGAATGGAGTGGAAGGTTTGGTCAAACATCAGCCAGTAAACGACCAAACTATGACCAGACTATGACGGGCAGGTTATAGGGTGGGGCGGGCGGAGCTTCCGGCACCTAAAACGCCGCGGCGTTGGCGGGATTCAATCAGGGGTTGCTCTGAATGACGTGTCCTTCCTGGGCGGGCGGCGGAAGCAGGCGGGCCGGAAAGCGGTGTGAGGGCGGGAGCTTTCAGGACTGGGAGTGTTGGGGCGGGGCGGGGCGGGCAGGGTCAACAACACTCGGGTCAAAGCTCAGCGTGCGGGCGAGATGAAAAAGCCTCTCCAGCCTGAAGTGCACCGGGGGTGTGGCCCTAGATAAGCGCCCCCACCCCCTCTCTATCCGCGACCGCGACATGCACGTCATCCGCAGCGCACCGTGCGGATCGACTGTCTCCAGGAGGGAGGAGCGCGGGCTGCTACGGGGGCGCGGGGTCTCGAGGGGCTGGTGCAACGGCTCCCCAGGGCCCGCGCCTGGGCACTCCCCAACGGGCAGTCCCCTGGGCACTCCGCGGCCCATCTACAGCAGCTTACTTATTCCACCAATTAGACACACTGTATCTGCCACGAAGGAGGGAGTGAGTGAGGGCAAGCGAAGGATAGGGGAGAGGTTGCATTTTAAGACAGAAGATATATGTGACACACACGTCTGCGATGAGGGTATAGGGTATGCCACTGACGATTTCGCGTCCTCAAAGAACTATAAAATAAACACAAAGAGCGATAAAAGAGCTTTACTGCCGGGCATCCTGTGGCCGCGCGCTGGGGGCCAG